TCCGTTTTCCAGTCTTGCCGCCGTTAAAATATGCAGCATTAAATATATTCCACCTTTGCCATGTTTTCCTTTTGTGACCCCCTAATAAAAATAATTCTGGCCTCAACTCCATCCTTTGATTTAGCATCTCTTCCAAATGCTTTCTTATCTAGTACCAAAAATTCCTAGCTTTCAGGCACTCCCACCACATATGGTAGAAGATCCCTAGTGCAGCATAACATTTCCAACATTGTGGCAATAAGTTTTTTATTAATTTTAGCTAATCTTGTGGGTGGGATGTGGGTTGGCTGGGAGTTGAAGCCCACCCCATCTTCAAACTGCCATTGTGGAGAAACACCGAGCTAAGGGTCCATTCCCAGCTCTGTTTGACTGATGTTGAAAGCATAAGCTGTCAGATTCGGGTTAATGTCAGGGTTCCAAATAGCATCCAAAATTAAATCAGAGTCCGAGGCAAAGGATTCCTCAGAGTTCCAATTGATGAAGGGAGCCACGTTGGCACATCTGGGAAAACCCGAATCTGAAAGCTTCCTGTTTTCCCCCACCCAGTTGAAAGTTCAAGATCTTTCCTCCCCCACCCACAAGACCACCCCATGGTCCAATCTCCCCCTGCCACGCTGGCAGCTTCCTCCCATCCAGTTCCGGCCAGGTGCAGAGTTGGAAAGACAAAGGATGACCTTGGTTTTCTAGAAAGAATGTTGTTATGGCTACATAGCATCTAACTCTGTACAATCCCCGCTCCCATTTCCCCACAACAGAAAGTACACAGTAGAAATTCGCGTGGCAGGCCTGAAGTCCAAAAGAAAAGATGGCTTGCAGGCATGAGATAANTCCTTTTGATGAGTATCTGCTTACTATCTTCTAATCCCTTTCTCTGCAATTGCTCCCCTCTAGGGAGTTTGGGGTGGTGGAAACAGGCATGGTTGACCGGGGAATTTTTTTAAAAAAAGTTTTTTTCATTAGATAAACATTAAAAACATTGGGCATATCATGGACATTTCTGGCATAAACATTTCCATATAGTTTTTGGATCTTACAACAATTACATTTTATATCCATTACAGAGGTATGTGTAGTCAGTAAGATTACCTGTCCATTGATCCTTTCTTTTATATAATTACCAACCGTACAAATACATATCCGATTCCTACCTATCACACCATGTTAATGCCATATTTTCCAATTCTTAACTTATCCGTGTTTTTCTGTCCTCATCTCTTCCCCTCATTTCTAACCATCCCTTATCTTTGAGTTCTAAGAGTCAGTCTGTCCATCTCTGCACGGGTCAGTATCTTACTTATTATTTCTTGTTCCGAGGAATCTCTTTATTTTTCCGTTTTCCAGTCTTGCCGCCGTTAAAAAATGCAGCATTAAATATATTCCACCTTTGCCATGTTTTCCTTTTGCGACGCCTAATAAAAATAATTCTGGCCTCAACTCCATCCTTTGATTTAGCATCTCTTCCAAATGCTTTCTTATCTGGTACCAAAAAAGTCCTAGCTTTCGGGCACTCCCACCACATATGGTAGAAGGTCCCTAGTGCAACATAACATTTCCAACATTGTGGCAATAAGTTTTTTTTATTAATTTTAGCTAATCTTGTGGGTGGGATGTGGGTTGGCTGGGGAATTCTGGGAGTTGAAGTCCACCCCCATCTTCAAGCTGCCATGGTGGAGAAACACCGAGCTCAGGGACCATTCCCAGCTCTGTTTGACTGATGTTGAAAGCATAAGCTGTCAGATTCGGGTTAATGCCAAATAGCATCCAAAATTAAATCAGAGTCCGAGGCAAAGAATTGCTCAAAGTTCCAATATATTAAGAGAGCCATGTTGGCACATCTGGGAAAACCCGAATCTGAAAGCTTCCCGGTTTCCCCACCCAGTTGAAAGTTCAAGATCTTTCCTCCCCCACCCACAAGACCACCCCATGGTCCCATCTCCCACTGCCACACTGGCAGCTTCCACCCATTCAGTTCCGGTCAGGTGCAGAGACAATGGATGACCTTGGCTTTGGAGAAAGAATGTTGTTATGGCTACCTAGCATCTAACTCTGTACAATCCCCCCTCCCATTTCCCCACAACAGAAAGTAGACAGTAGAAATTCACGTGGCAGGCCTGAAGTCCAAAAGAAAAGATGGCTTGCAGGCATGAGATAAGCAGTGTTGTGCTGGGATGGGAGACAACAAGGCGATCACAGATTATAGAAGAAGACAAAAATCAGAATATCCCCTCCTTCGTACC